CATGCCCGATGGTGGAGAAACTTGATCATTTTCGTCGAGTATTTCTTTTACTTCAGCCTGTGATTCAATGACAAAGCCGGCCTTTTTAAAACAATTTTGAATTGTTGACGGTTTGACCATGAAAAGTGCTCGCTTCATCATGTGCATGGCCTTCAAAACAGTTATATCTGCTTGGCCACCTCGGACAGCGGCACTGGCGGTGTAGCATCGATCGCTGCGATTTGCATTCGAACATGTTCCCGACGATAATACGATTTGAATGAACTAATGATGCCTTGATCCAAAGGTTGAATGAGACTGGTGGTGTTTGGTGGCATGAACGACAATTTGATGTTTGACAGATTTGTACCCGGCAGTAAGTTATGACAAGTTGCATTGTCCAAAAACAGAATAATCTTTCGATTTTGAGCAATCATTTTTCGATCAAGCGTTTTCATAACGTCAGTAAACAGCTGACTAGTCATCCAGGCTTTACGATTAGCGAAGTAAGAAAACGGCAGTGTTTTGACATTTTTAAAGCAGCGTGGTTTTGCCGACTTACCAACAACTACAGCTTGCTTTTCACTACCGTCCATGTTTGTGAACTGAAGCATCGTGAGTCTGTCTTTGGGAACTTTTGTCCCATTTGACTGTTTGTCGCCGGCAAATCGCAAAGATCCAGACGGCATGGCTTTGTAGAAAATTCGCGTTTCATCACAGTTCCAAACATCTTTTGGATCATATCCACGAAAAAGTTGCGGCAAAACGTTTGTCACCCATTCGTTGGCAGAACCTTGATCTGCTGACGTTGATTCGCTGTGAATTTTTTTTGAACGCACGAGCCAGCCATTGCTCGGTTCAATTGCTTCCAGCGCACGAGCCAGCCATTGCTCGGTTCAAAATCAACTTCAAGATTTACGGGCAGTTGTGATGCTTTCTGCCTGATGACGTGATCGGTGACAGTAGCTCCATGAGCACATGCTTGCGTAAACCATTGTGTAAACGCTTCGTTTTTTAACGTCCTTGTGCACGGATTGGCGCTTTCGTTTGCGATTAGTGTTTCCGTTCATTTGCATGCAAGATCTGAGATCGTCTTCTTTCTTGAGAATTTTTGCTGCTGTTGAAGATTAAGTCATTGAACTTCACTCGCTAACTGACCTCTGTTTGACCGATTTACGACATCACACTGTCACTCAAAACGAACTCTCTTATATCGGGGAGGACGGGGCCAGAGAAAATCTCTCTTATATCCGGGTTTCTCTTATATCAGGGTTTAATTTATATACATTAACACAGGCTCTAATTTGGGACCAGAGAAAATCTCTCTTATATCCAGGTTTCTCTTATATCCGGGTCTCTTATATCCGGGTTACACTGTATATATATATATATGTATATATATATATATATATATATATATATATTAACTGATTTAAAAATATGGTTCCTTCGCTACACAGGAATTACCATGTTAAAGCTAAAACTTCATATTTAATTATATTATGGTAAGCACTAAATTAAAAAAAGATAAAAAAGTTAACTTCTTTGATATAACATTAGATTTAATGAAAAATGTATACATACCTTATAAAAAATACCCAATACTAATCCTTTATATATACACACCCTAAATCTTATCATCGTCCATCTATAATTGAGCATATACGTTTTATCTATCAAAAAAAGAATAAGTACAAATTCAGCAAATGAGAAGATTTTCTATGAATATATTAATTTCTATAATAAAACTCTAAAAGATAGTGGCTACAAAAGCCCAAAATTAACTTATATAAAAAAGGAAAATGGAAAGCATAGAAAAATCATTTGGTATACACCTCCATACAACCAAATGGTAAAGAATAAATTAGGACAAAAATTCCTTGCATTAATCATTAAACATTTTCCTAAAGATAGTAAACTCAGTACTATTTTCAATAAAAATACACTAAAATTAAGTTACAGCTGTACTGAAAACTTAGAGAAAATTATTAAGAAACATAATGCTGATATCTTGAATAAACACTTAGACCAAAACCAAAGAAATTTAGAGAATATAAAAATAAAAAGAGATGAAGATAAACAAAAATTATGTAACTGTAGAAATCCTCATAACTGTCCACTACAAAATAAATGGCTCACAGAATCATTAGTATACCAATGCAATATCTCATCTATTGAGAATCCTGAAAATATAAAAATCTATATAGGTTGCACAAGCCATGAGTTCAAAAGAAGATTCAGTCAACATCAAAGTTCATTTAGGATAAATAAATACTGAAATCAGACGCCCATATCGAAATATTTCTGGTATTTAAAAGAAACCAATAAAGCACCTACAGTAAAATGTAAATTAATAAGAAAAGCTAGAATATATAGGTCATTAAATTTCCTTTGTGCATACATGAGAAACTATATATTACTAAGTTTATAAAAAATAAAAATTTACTGAATCAAAGAAATGAAATACCTATTCTTTACTGACATGGTCAAAATTTTTCCTTAAATAATATTTTAAAATAAAATAAAATAATTAAAAAATTTAAAAAAAGGGAGCTGGTAATATACATACTTATATTTGATATGTAATAATAATTTAATATGTAATAATAATTTTTAAATAATTTAAGTAATTCTATTACATTTATTTGTTTTAAAAAGAAATATAGTCTATTAGTAATTAAGAGTGAAAATAATATTTTAAAATTGTAGTTCAATATAACATATTCTAATCCAAACACCCCTTTTAGAAAGAATCTTTATGTATACAAGTATGAATGTTAAAAAAATGCCAAAAACTTTTTGTTGTTGATAAAAACCAGATGACATGCGTAGAACGGATATCATAATTCGTTGAAAAATGCACCCCTACCCTACCAAGACTTAACCTCTTTTTCGAATGTAACTCATAATTGATACAATAATAGTTAATAAAAAGGAATACACTACCGCCCCTGTCGAAATGATTGGATTTCTCTGTATCCTTGGAAACAAAAAATTATGAATGTATGTGCTTTTAAAACTCAGTAAATTTAAAAATAAGTTATTCCAAAATTCACTTGAAGAAGAAACAGAACTAATGCTTTTAATTTAACCTCTTTTTCAAACGTAACTCATAAATGATACAATTAATACATATTAAATTTGAAGTTTTTACGTTCAGTTTTTGAAACATGGTTATTACTGTGTAGCGAAAAAAAACATATTTTAAATCAGTTAAGTTATAATATTTATGCTCTGTAAATTTACATTGAGTACTGTTTTGTAAAAATAAAAATATCAAGAAGAACACCGGATTATATATCTTACTGTTCTTTCTTTTTACTATAAAACATATATATATATATATATATATATATATATATATACATACACACACACACAAAAATTAATTTCATGAAAAGTTATAAACTTTGGAATTTCATATAGGTAGTCTTCTTTCTCTGATAAAGGAAAATATTTACTTGGATTTCCAAGCTGAAATCTAATCCGAGAGTAATAAATTCTTAATAGTAAGATGCTATGCTCATTAGTAGATTTTCATTAAAAGTTGGAAAAATAGTTTTTTGTTGCTGAGGCTATATGCTTTTTGAACAAGGGAGCAGTTGAGATAATATGAGCAAAAGTGGAAATTCTGCATGCATCAATGTCAAACTGGAAAGGGGTACCCAGGAGGAGATTGCTATATAAACTGGAGAAGCATTTGGCTTTGAAATTTCGCAGGGAGACCTTGAAACAGAGTGCTAAGAAAATTCATATCACTCAACGACAAGAGCACACATATACTCAGTGAATGGAGCAGATGCACAGACACAATGAAATCAGGAGTCTGGCAGACATGCTGCAAGATAAGGAGACAGCTGCTACTAAGATTTTTAAAGTAACCATAAGGAGAAGGGGAAAAAAACTGCTACAGTTTGGCCTCAAAATACTTTGAAATCACCACTTTGCTACATGTTCATGCAATATTCCCCATTAATAAATTATTGTTAAAATTTCCAAAGTGGTTGTTTGTTTTGAAGTGATCTTCCTCTTTAACTTCAACATCCAAGGACTAGCTTTGAGATCATGAGAAACATATTACCACACTCCCTGGAAGAGTTTAATAACTCCTCCATGGGGGGCACAACAAACCACTAGATAATCACCATTGAAAAATGGGATTTGTTTCACGGTGTGAGATGGAGCGAAACAGCCAACAATTTGGTCTGCCAGGCACACCAGACATAAAGAAACAACAGTGTATGCCTGACCCCTATGGTTCACACCTGGTAACCTGAAAGTAGTTGTCTGTTTACATTCAGTTTCAGAGGCCAGAAGCAACCTGTGATCAGGCCTCAAGTCTGTTTATAATTGCATTTATACTTAAAAGTTGAAACTTTTCAGATTAATAATTTCATATTTGTTTTAAATGCTGTTTAATTTATTTTTTTTTTTATCTTTCTCCATATATTATAGGTTAACTAAATTTTATTTTAATTTACTATTCACTCAGTAAAGATATTTTATCTTACTAATAATTTTCAATAAAAAGAGGTTTTATTTTGTCTGAAACTTATCAATTAATAGAATATTCTAATAAAGTTTCCAATAAAATTTCTATCTAATTTGTTAATTTTACCAAATCCTAATTTATATATATATTTAAAGTTTTTCTTTACAAACACTACAAGTACATGAAGGAGAAATTCTTTTTAAACAAAATTTAAAAAGAGTAAATAAATAGGCAAAAATGTTGCTTCTTAACCTTTAGCCCTCTGCAATATTCATAAGTATTTCATCCATTGGGTATGAATAGCCAGACAACTGCAGTAACATTATCTTCGATTTTCAGTTAGTTATTTTTCTGTTGCCATAGTAGGATATGACAACACTAGCACAAAATTCAATCACACTATTGCCTGATGATGAAAGTTGCATGCAGTGACTGTATAAACATTTTGTTTAACAAATAAAGTCACCTATATACAGAGTGCTAAAGTTGAAAGAAGAATTCTGAGAATAACTTTTACTTATAAACTTACCCTGTGACTTCAAGTTTTGATTCAAGGTATATTGGAACTGTCAGCTTTTGTGTGTTATTTACATACTCATCTGAAACATTGCTGATTGTTGTTGCATTCATCATCAGATCGATTGATTTTTCTTTAGTTGTCCTGCAAAGAACAAGAAGCAAGTGTACTGGATATATATATATACTGGATATATATAAGTGTACTGGATATATAGCATAAATTCAGTATTAACTAATAATGTAGTAGAAGATAAGAGAAGACATAAAAATTGTTACTATAATCTATAATAACAAAGATTGTCTTTTGTCAAAAAATGGTTGACCAGTGTATTTCTGGAAGATGACATTTTTGAAAGCAAACAGTTTTTGTAATTATAGTGCTCAATATCATGATATAGGTTCTTAATAATAATAAATAAAATTAAATGTTCACTTATCTTTTTTTTTATTATTCTATCCACTCTAAGGAGACTTGATTGTAAAATTCTCAAAATTTTACCAAATGACCAAACATGAATTTTTTTGGAAGGGCTTCTTGGCCAGGCTGAGAACTTTTCAGTACTATACACACAGTATAGCTCCCATCCAAATTAAACAGTTTTTTGAAACTATTTACTATATTTGTTCATTTTCTCTAGTTTTTTTTTAAACTGTTTGCTATATTTATTCATTTTCTCTATTTTAATTATATGATTAAAAGTAAAGGTTACAATAATCATAATGCATAAAAAACGTTTACATACTTTACATGAGGAAAATAACATTTATTAAAATTTTGTTTCATTTCATTCTCACTTGTTCACTTACACACTCTCATAACCATATGAATAAGCAATGATTAATCACAATGTTTCTTGAATTTTGTAACCTTTCATTGAAAGTAAAGTTTTTGTTATTTTAAACCAATGGTGATATTGACTAAGGAAGATCACACATAACATCTTTTTCTTTACAAATGGGAAACATTTATAACAATTTTTCTCTAAGAAAAGAAAATTTTTTTAGTTAAAATTATTTTTTGTATTTTCAAATGAATAAATTAAAAACAAATCTCATATAATGACATTAGTTAATCACAATGTCATCAGTGATATTATTATACCAAGATTTTCAATTTTTCCAATGAAAAAAAAAAATTCTCTATTTCTAAAGCAGATGCTTATATATATGGTCTTCTGTAGTGAAAATGGCTGAGGCACCATCAAGGAAAAATAATATTTTTAGTAATGATGAACCATATCTCACGCAAACCACTGCTTAAAAAGTTTTGTCCATTCCTGATTTAACTGATGCAGATTCATAAAATATGCATGATTTTTCTTGTGTGTGCATGCATGCTTGATAATTAAGAAATAAAATATAGAAAATAATATTGCTTACATATTAATAAAAAAAATAACTTCAAAAAGCACACTGCTATTTCCTTTCAGTGGGTGGCCCAAAAAGCAAGTCAGTTCTTTATCTTTTTCTTGATGGCACTGGACATCAGAATCAGAAGTTTGGTTCACGGATTCAAACTCCAAAAATTGTGAATAGAAGATCCTTGCCTTTGCACCATAAGCATGTTCGCCAATACTTTCTACTTGGGCCAACAATACAAACTTCTGATCTCTCCCCAGAATCAACTGAGAAACTTTTTCCCTCATTGATATTTTTAGATAAGTATTACAGGTATCATCAGCTCCACAGCCAATATCAAATTTAACCTGATATTAAAAAAAGGCCACATTAGAATAATAAAAATACACAAGTCATTAAAACAGAAAATGAATATGAATATTCTTTGCTTGTACAATGACATTTAAAAGGCTTGTGGGGAAAATGAAAGGAAATTAATAAATAAAATAATAATAATAAATTAAAAACAGAAGAAGAAATACATTTTCCCATGATGTTAGTAATAAAGGAACCAGAAATTTTATTACTCCACTTAGCTTTGCCAAACACATGTGGTGCTGTTTAAGTTCTATAAAAAGACAAACATTTACTCCCTCTTCCCCTCTTTCTCTCCAATGCTTCATGATGTAGCAGAACATGGATGAAGACATCCTCACTGTTGAACGTCTCTTTTCCCTGGTCAACTGATGACAGAACTCACTTTTGTTCCTCTTACAGAAGCAGAACGCAGATGAAGATATCCCTACTGGGTAACATCTCTTTTCCCCAGTCAACTGATGGATGAAGTAAGCACAACCTGTACTTTGGTTTTTCCAACTCAGTATAAGGCTAACTTGAACTCAACTAATATAACAATGCTTATCATAACATATCCTAACTTACTTTTGGACCAGAAAAAGAAATTCTCTTCACACTTTTCAATGAAAAGAAACTCTCTTTCCACTTTCCAACACATAGCATTTGTAAGTGATTTTCAGCTACTCCCATGAAGTAAATACTTTTGTAATTTCAACTCAGTGCAAAGCTGATTTGAGATCAACCATTTTAACCATTCATAACAAGCCCTAATTTATTTGTGGTCCAGAAAAAGAAAACAGACATATCCAGGAAACATTGAGAACTTTGTTTCTCTACAATTTATATATAAAAAACAATAACCGGTCTATAGTAGAAACCCAACTTTTTTGCTTCTTTAATCATACACACAAGCACACAAATTTAAATTCCATTAACTTATCTAGCATTAAATATCATTTCCTAACAAAAATCACATTACTTTAACAGCAATGTAACTAGAGGAAAAATAACAATCTAATCAATATGTTAGCTTTCCACATTATCTTTAACATAAGGTTATGAAGGAAACTCTTGTCAATACTAGAAAGAGCTATAACAGTGAATTTGAAAAGTCTAATTCCCTGAAGAACTGTTTTAAGAGAAAGATTTTATAAATTTAAACCGATAATAATGCTAGCTTTTTGGTCAATGAATGTAAAATTTTTCCTGCATTGAAACAGCTAATCTCATTCTTACCATTATGACATCTTAGGATTTTAGGTGTTAATTGTTGCAGCCATATTGGGGATTTTAGAAGCTTTTAATTCAAAACAGTGTGCTATGGAATTTTAGAAGTTGTCTTATAATGACCTGTTCTTAGTAGCATAAAAAAAGGAGTTTGATTGAAAATCAGACATCTGTCATCAAGAAAAAAATCCTTTTATTCTGCAATTGTAGCAGGAGCTGAACAGTTGGTGAAGATTTTAAAGATGAATAGTTTCACTTCTTGCTAGTTGGTTCTATAATGTTTTTGAGGATATTGTTTTACATTACCCAAGTACAGCAAAGGTAAATGGACTATGAATTATGCTGCAAACAGGACCTGTATCTTGTCCAAGACCAAAAACCATAATTCTGATAACATGCATGGACACTGGTGCTTATTGAATAGATGAGCCTGTAGGTTTTGAATCTATAGAGAATTAAAATTTATTAGTTTCCCTTTTTTTACAATGATGTAGACTGTCAGTCAGTTATGTACCATGCAGGATACATGCTTAGGCAATCATGTACCTTTCGATATGTGACTGACGAGGCAGATTTTTTCCCGCAGTAGATTGCCATTTCTTTCTGCAGTAGACCAGTTGCCATCCAAGGCTATAGAACCCAGTCTGTCCTGCTATTTACCCATAGCTGGTGGGAGAAGAAGAGGATTCATACCTTTCCCAAGGGTATTAGCATGTAAATGAATGTAATGGATTCGATTGGAATTTGAACTCGGCTCTTTGATTCCTCAGTCCGAGTCGCTATCCATTACTCTACCATACCTATACAAGGCCCAATAGTCACTTGAAGTAGAAGGCTACAGAGTAAGAGGCCAAGCAAGGAGTAAAAGAGAAGGAAAAGGCTTTAGAAGGAAGCAGAAATCCTAAACATAAAACAAGAGATAAGCCTCTACTCCTGTTCAAAAGACTGGAGAGGAGTTTGAACTGGATGATAGACAAACCTATCTATTCCTATTGAGGAAAAGAAAGTTAATTGATAGTAAATAAAAGTTCAAAGTTTTAGACGGAGACGTTAATAGTATAGAGTTGAAGTAGACTTTAGAAGGAACCAGAAACCCAATCCTAAACAGTACAAGCTTCAGAGCATTTAGAATTCATCTTCCTCTGGGACTCTGGAATCAGATAACAAATCAATGAACAGGGTTTTTTTTTAATCATCCATTACAATCTTTCCAGAAAATACATCAGCATCTCAGCCAGTCTTGGTCTTCAGTATTACGGCCCAGATAACTTATATAGTGATTCAAATACTGTTGTTTCATTATTCCATTTGGACATTATCCAAAATATCAACCAAGTCAGAGTAACTTAACCATAATCTGAACTTTAAGATAGTCATCTATCTGTCTCTATTTTGAGTGAAAGTATTTTCTCTAAAACTGGCCATTTCTGATCTCAGCATAAAAGCAATTGTTTCAGCCAATACAGACTGCTTGCATTTCAGTTCAAAGCCACTGATCTCCTTGACAAGCTTCTTTAAAATGGGCTCTCATGGCTTGTAATAGTAAATCAGACTAGTTAACTTGTGGTTACATCTAAATTTGAATCCAAGTGCTGCCTCACACTAATTAATTATTTCTTAATCTTCAACCGTTATTATTTTGACCGTAACATTCAGCCTTATTGTATTACATTTCATTCATTTTCCATTATTCAATTATTTTTTAAGCTAAAAATAAAATTCTGTTAAATTATTTTTTTACATTCTAACAGCTCATCAATTGAATTAGTTATGTTTATTTTTGCTTTTTAACAATATTTGTGTGTGAACCTCCTAGAAACTACTGATTTTTTATGAGCATAGGAGAATTGAATAAAAGAATTCATCAAGGATAAGGAGAAGGTGATGATCCAAAAACAAATAAGTCAAATTCTTTAAATAGGCAACCAAGAAATAAACATAAAACAGACATCCAGTCATATTGCGGGATTAACCATTCTCATCTGTCAGGGGATTTTTCCTAATCCCACAAGGTGGTGTTGGATAAAGTAATATAAAAGGAAAGGACAGAAATTCTATCTCTCTCTCCTTATGTAATAACAAGATGTGTCTCATTTATCCTCTGGAAGGCTTCTTTGTCTCCAGATGAACCATATGTCACATTGTATGCAACACAATGCTATCATTACACAAGGTAATATCAAAATGGATACGGTTTTACCCTCAACTGAAAGCAAAAAATGCTACCCCCTTTTTTTAAAAATTTACTAAAAATTAGGGCATTATCAAATTTAAATGAAATTTTGAGTGCTTAATGAATGAATTGTATACTGAATATGTTATTTCCTGAGAAAAATTTATGGACATTTTTTTAGGTGGGGTGGCAATTACCCACCCATCATTTAAATCAATCATGAATACTTTTAAAATTGGAGGATGAAGACAAATATTTTTTAGTTTCAGAAGAAAAATCCATGAAAATATTATTTCAGTAAAACTGTTCTGCAATATCAACAGTGAACATCTTGAAAATTTGTCCTGAAACCTAACAAAACTAACTCAATAAAACTCAAAAAACAATTTTTGTTGAGAATTCATGATTGCATAATTTAATAAAACATATTATTTTCTTTTAGATTTAACAGGGGAAAATAAATATTTATTTTGGAATAGTTGTAGTTTCTCAATACAATTTTGAAATTCATCCAGTTGTTAATGATGAAAGATCTTTTTATTAAATAAAGACATATTTGAAGAATCAAAAAATGTAAAGTTTAATGCCATTTTTGAGTGTGAAATATTTTTAAAGGAATTTTCTAGATATATTTTTTGCATCAGTTAATTTGGTTTTTGTATAGGAAATAATTTAAAAATTCTGAATTACCCCTTGGTTAAATAATGTTAAAAATAATTACATGATATCTGACAGTGTCAGCTCAAAGAAAGTAGTGAAGGCAATCAATTAAACAGTATCAATTCAATAAGCCTTTATCAATTTTCCCCATTTTTTAAAAAATCTTTCCTTTGTTTAATAAAATTTCTTAGAATAATTTAAAAGACCTTATTTGGTGAAATTAAATATTTTATGAGATCAAGTAGCCTAAAAAATAGATAAATACAGAATAAATGCCAAATATTTAAAAAAAAAAGAAGAGAGGAACAAGAAATGCAATGGATAAAAATATCACTTCATTTTATCATTTAAATAATATAAATGTGTTTGTAGGATGTATAATAGCATCTGAAACAAAAGTGACGAAGTGGAAAAGTTGCAAACCACACATTTTACAAGAACATCTGTTCCCTCTGGCTTCTTCAGGTTAAAATGAAAAAAAGACAAAACTGTATGTATGTATCAGATGTGATAAGGTAATTTGATTTATGGACCCCACTTATCCTCAGAGATCCCAACACATTTTTCCTTACATACAGTTTTGTCTTTCTTTCGTTCTAACCTGAAGAAGCCAGAAGGAACAGATGATCTTGGCAAAACACATCTTTTATAGCTTTTTCACTTTGTCTCATTATCTTTATCAATAGGAATATAAAAATATTTTTTATAGAATAAAAAATATTATTTTTAAGCATAAATGAAATCAGTTTCTGTATTACAGTACTTTTGACTTTTCGTATTTAATTAAATTTGAGGAAGGCTTTTTTTTTTTAAAGTGGTTATCATGGGAATAAAAGCAACAGTTTGATCTATAAATTTGTTGACATGTGGAATATTGCTGCATTCAAATACTTTTTCATTATCTTTTAAGTGTAAGGTAAGTAATATTTTTAAAAAATTCTGGTAATACTTAATTTTATTTATTTCCTTTGAAACAAATCTCTAGAACAGATATTTGATTTTTAAGAGATTTTTATAAAGTATCTTAAATTTTTGTCATCATTTTCTGATTAAAATGATGGATCAATAACAAATCAGAATATTTTAAAAATGTTCCAAAACCTTATTGAAATGTGTAAAATTCTGTTTTGATTTTTTATAGATTAATTTTAGGGCATTATTTTTTCAAATAATAAATTTTGACTAGGAAAAAGTCACAACTTACAAGTAACATGTTTGGCATACATGAACCCATTGTAGCAGATTTTTGAACCACGTTTATTACTGTCAATAATTTCCATGGCATTTTTGAACCACACTTATCACTATCAATAATTTTCATGACAGGAGCCATTAAAAGTATCACTAAATCCAAGTATTGTTGATTTCCAAAAAGCACTCAGATTGAAGATTTCCACTACTCACACTGTCTTTAGGGATAAGGTTAGGGTTTAAAAAGTCTATTAAAGAAAGATGCAGTAATGATGCTAATATTTCCCTGTTTTCTTTTTCTTGTGGCTTTTTTTACCTGGATCCACCTTCACTACACTATCACAAAGGTATATTTCTCTCTCATATAAAAAAATGTTACTCTTTAACAAACTGGTCAACGATATTATAAACTGGTAATCTAATGCCATTCCAATGTTAATTTGTTTTATTATCGTGTGTTCATTTTGGTTATACTAACATGATAAACCATTTCCATTCTTATTTTTGGTAAATGAAATGAATAAATGTTGAATGAATTTATTTTATAGGTTAAAATTTTCTCCTGAATATCATTACAATCATTACAATAGTAACTGAATTCAAATAAGCTGCAAGACATGAGTTTGCTTTAATAGTGTCAGGTAACTGCTACCTTAATATCTTTCATATATCTTGAGTACTGAAAGAAACTGACAACTCACCAGTGTGGAAAAACTGCCATTTTTTGCTATTGGACAAGTGCTGTTGCAAACTGGAGAATAACCTTGGTCTTTTAAATAATAAGTAAATGTGAAATTGATAGGTTCCAAAATGTCCACTGTGTTCTGGGAAATAGAAAAAAAATTGATGTCTTTACACTAATGATATGATTAACATATTTTAAAACAAAACCAGAAAAACATGTTCAAAGAAAATTTAAAGTTACATCTATATTATAAAAGAAGAGCGGGTTCTCTGACTGCCACACACTTTTTACATATGACTTTGCATGTGTGTGTATTTGTAATGTATATGCGTATGTCTGTCTTGTGCATGAGTGACTTACATGTATCATTTATGGAAACATGTTTGTATGTTTCCATAAATGATACATGTAAGTCACTCATGCACAATTTGACTGATCTTCAAATAAGACATTGAAATAATGCATTCACTTGCTACTCAACCTGGACAACCCCTACTCAAGGCTGAGCAATAAAATCATAGAGATATAAAAAAGAAAAAAATATTCATTTTTTTAAACCCTAAAAAAATGATTAATTAAAAGATTTTATTGAAATTTTCAGAAATTAATTGGTAATAAAGAGATTATTTTTAAAAAAATTTGTAGAAATATTTTTAGGTCTGTCACTGAATTAAATTATACATGTGCATGCATACACAAGAAATGGTAACAAGAAATGCAGAGATGGATTTAGTTAGGCCTTAAGAGGCCCCTGGGCTAATAGAATTTGGGGGCCCCTTCATTATGTATGTTTGTCCCCTGTGTCTATAAAAATTAGATATATTTTTTTGATGATGCTTTTTTGGTGTAAGATATGAAGCACTTCAACTAAAATGCTACATCAAAAATCACTATTTATATTTTTTTATATACAAATAGATTTTTAATGTACTTTTTTTAATGGATGCATTAAAACGTAAATGAGGTGGCTTTAAGTAGCCCCATTTAATTAAAAAAATCTGATTCAACTAGAGGGGCCCAAATACTCTAAATTGTTTCAAATT